GTCACAGGCCTGTGCGGGCACCCCGGGGTGTCACAGGCCTGTGCGGGCATGCCGGGGTGTCACAGGGCCTGTGCGGGCATCCCGGGGGGTCACAGGCCTGTGCGGGCATCCCGGGGTGTCACAGGCCTGTGCGGGCATCCCGGGGGGTCACAGGCCTGTGCGGGCACCCCGGGGGGTCACAGGCCTGTGGTCATCCAGGGGGGGTCACAGGCCTGTGTGGGCAGCCGGGGTGGCTGGATGTCTGGGGCGAGGCAGGCCAGCCTGACCAGGAAGAAGTGCTCAGAGGATTAACCACCAGCTGAATAAAGGCGCTTTATTGTGCAAATCCCATGAAAATGGCTGGGCCAAGCCCCAGCCCCAAACTGTCCCTGGCTCCAGGCCTGTTCTTTGGTCCTCACCCGGGCTTGCGGGCATGCGGTGCCAGGTCTGGAGGCAGTACGAGGAGGTTCTTGGGCCTCGGTGCCCAAGGCCATGTGGAGGCTCCAAGTGGAGGCGGTTGGGCAGAGGGAGCTCACGCCCACCTCGGCTCAGAGGCCACACAGGTCCACACAGTCTTTTCCGCTTCGGAATACACGGTAGATGCTGGCGGGAGGGAACATGGCAACAGCGCCAACCAAGGAGCCTACTTGGATGGCCACCCCAGCCGCTAGCAGGGCAGCCCGGCCTCCGCCGTGCAGCATGGAGCTGGCCGCCACCTTGACGTAGGAGAACACGCCGGCACACAGCACCCAGGAGAGCACCTGCAGGGAGCATCCAACAGCAGGGGAGCACGGAGCACCCTGCCCAGGGCGAGCCCCGCCCTCCTCTGGTCCCCAGCACACTTACCACAAGGACCACACCTGCGGAACTGCCCACTAGGGGAGGGCAGGGGCTCAGGACTGCCAGTGTCATCAGGTAGGCCCCAAAGAGCACGCCCAGCAGAGCAAGACCACACAGCCCTGCCAGGGACCTGCCAGGAATGGGCAAAGCCTCAGGTCTGGCTCAACGGGGCCCAGGGCCCCGCACCCCAATCTCCTCCCACCAAGGGGGCCTGAGACCCAAGTGCACCTGCACAGGACGGCCATGGCCAGGAAGCAGGCGAGGGGGTTGGCAGAGCTGCCCAGCACCACCGCCAGATGGTAGGCCAGGCGCCCATAGGGCAGGCAGGAAAAGCTCTGCACGGCAGGCAGCGCGCCATTAGTCAGGCCGTTGGTGGTGGCCAGCAGGCCCAGGAGGCAGGTGCTTTGGACGGCGAACAGCTGGTGGGCCTTGGGAGCTGGCCTGGGGGGCTCCTGCAATGGCGAGGCCTCCTCCTCTGCTCCGGGGGCCCCCACCGGGCCTGGGGCCCCTGGGGGTAGGGACGGCGGTGAGGGCAACAGCCGCAGAAGACCGTGGAAGGCGGCGGCCGAGGTCACCAGCAGGGCAGTCAGTGCCCAGAAGAAGGTGCTGGCAGAAAACCGCTCGGGGAAGTTGATGGGAGGCCCAGGGGTGCCGTTAATGGGTACAGGGGGGCATTCCAGGCGGCCCACACCTTGGGCCAGGGCCAGCACACAGGGCAGCAGGGCACTGAGACCCTGACCGAGAAAGAAAGACCGTAAGAAGGGAGGCGGCAGGTGGCTCAGGAAGGGCAGGAAAGTGACATTAGAGGCACAGGAGGCCGTGGCCAGCACAAAGGCCAGGGTCAGGAAGGCCACGGAGTGGGGCTGTCCAGCCACGGGGGCCACACGGTGCCAGAGGAGGGCCAGCAGCGCCGCGCCCGCTATGCTCAGCCCCTGCACCACCTGGATGGGGCCCTGCTCGCCGCGGCCCGGGGCCAGCCGCCTCCACAGGGTCACCACCAGCAGACCCAGGTTCCCCAGCGCCACCAGCACGGAGAGGTACGAAGGGAGACTCCACCCTGCAGGAGGAGGACGCCGGTCAGGGCTGAGGGGCAGGGCGCGGGGCTGGGGGATCAGGACGCTGGGATCGGGGTGCGGGGCTCCGGGCGCGGGGATCAGGACGCTGGAGTCGGGGCGCGGGGCTCCGGGCTCCAGGCGCGGGGCGCGGGGATCAGGACGCGGGGATCGGGGCGCG